TGTGTGTGTGTGTGTGTGTCCGTATGTCCGATGCATCTTGTTTCTTTTTGGACTTGCTTTCTCTGAAACTTCACTATTTTATTAATCCATTACTAGCGTCCAAATTCGCAGACATCCATATTTGTCCGAAATTTTTTTCATGTTTCAGGAAGGGCCACTGGGAGCAGTACTGCCAACATCATCGTCAGTCCCGGTAGCTCTTGGCGGTGAACCAGCAGTAGCAACAGTGCCATCAACTTCTTGCGCTCCAGCCGCTGCTGTAGGAGTGGAATGTGCATCGAGTCATCTGCTCTCCTGTTCACCATGTTCATCGGAATCAGCACCGGCTTCACTCACACCATTCATATCCGGCATCAATAGCCCAGCTGTCAGTGCACCAACGATCATCGGAAGACCAGAAAGTGCTGCATCAGCGCAGCAAACTCCGTATGTTCATGTTTTTCACTATGTATTAAGGGAGACGAGTGATTAAGCGAAGGCCAGAGGGATTCGCTGAATGTCTTTCTGAGATTGAGTATTAAAAACCAGGTCAAAATTCTTCCTGTATCCGCTGATTTTCGTGAAGCAGAGGTTCTTGGAAGTGGCTCGAGTGGTAGCACGTTTAGCGGTGAGCAGTCGAGACAAAACCGTCGATTTCTGCTGTTTCCGAGAATTTACATTTTGCTTATAATGAAACGGCAAGGTGCGGGGAATAACTGCGGGACTTTCTTTTTATGCGTTTTTTGCATTGCATGAATGCAAAAAACGCATATTTTCGAAGGGTTGTCTGTGTGTGTCTGTATGTGCATCTATACCGGTTTTTCACTTCGAGATCTACAAAAGCTAAAAGGCTGAAACTTAAGTGCATGGCCCACATGGTCTCCATGTACGGGCTCGTGAAAATTCTCGGCAGATAAGTTGCTAACTCGGAAACCAGAAAAATTAGAAAGCTGAAACTTTAAGGGAATGTTTTCTCATAGTCATGGTGGCCAGTCTCAATTCCTTTAGCCAAAAGCATCTGCCGAAAAAAAACAGTGCCATTAGCGAAAAAATAGCCTATGGGGAACTGTGCAAAAAACGCATTTTCTCGTCGACTTTCGGTGCGCTGACCAGTTATTTTAGAAATACTGACAACGGTTTACCACCGGAACGAATCGTGGATGAACCAGTTTTTATGCGTTTTTTGCAGCTATGCAATGCAGAAAACGCATATTGACGAGAGGTTGTCTGT